ACAATATAACAGACTCACCTCCTGCCCGTTCGGGGCAATGACCACGTCCACCTCGTCGAGTTGCTGGCGATGTTCCGTGACCTCCGCGTGGATCTCCCTACCGTTGTACGTTAGATAAACCTTCTGGCCGGTTACCAGCCGCGCGCTGGTGACGGAGCCGAAGCCGGGTCCGATCAAATCGCGGTCCGAGTACTCCTTGGGGCTCGGCGGCGGGCTGCCGCCCGTGATGTCGAAGCGCACGGAATACAGGGTCTTCGGCGTGACGCTCTTCTGGCCCGGCGACTCGGCGGCCTGCGGCGTCTTCACGGCGCAAATGGCGCCGCTGTAATACTTGCCGTCCTGGCCGGGAGCGCACACCCTGGTGCCGATTATGCTGCGTTTCGCCAGCCTCTTGCCCGTCGACATTATTCGCAGCTTCTACGAGCCGACGCTATCACTCGGTTTCGCACAGATCAGGAGGATCCTTATACCTTGCGCTGTGTCTTTCTCTTTCTCTCCACCGGTCTTCTCTCGTCCTCCCTTTCTCCCCTTCCTCCTCTTCGCGATGGAGGATCACTCGATCGTTCTCGTCGATCGTTTCCTCGCGGGAAGTCCCGTTGCGGCGCGTGACACGGCGCGAAACATTCACGCGGATTCGACACTTCTGTTGCCCCTCACGCTCGCTCTTGTTCACTCGCGACACTTTCTCTTTCTCTCACGTCCTCGTCGCGACGTTCGACAGTGTTCGTCGGACGAACGCACGGATCCACAGAATCACGTCTGAGAATAACGCGCGCGTTGCAACGCAGTAGCAGCAGTTCAAGATTCACGATGCGAGAGTGACATACACACGCCTACAACACGTGCTCCGAAATTTAACGATTGGCGAAATCCCCCCCCCAGAAATACGAGAAGTCGGTCTTTTTAAATTCGGAGGCCGACCGTCGACCGTACACGATGGATCCCACGAGCGAATCCCAAGAAGGCTCTTTCGCTCTCTCTTTCGTCCACTCTATCCTTCTTTCATCGCTTTAGGTCATCGTACCGATCGGCTTTTCGTCGCCACGCACCAATCACGCCGTCGCCTCTACCGGCGACGATGGTAGAGTTTAAAAGCTGCGAAGGAAAGGGAAGGAGGGTGTCGGTCGCGCTACGTCGTAGGGCACGGCGATCCCGCGGGGGGATCCCTCTCTTTAGACGCTGGAGGGACGCGGCGGCCTCCGTGGCCTGAACACAGAACTCAGCGTATCAACAAAGCGGCGTGCACCGTCGCCCGCGTTCGTCACGCCGTCCGCATATTCGAGGCACTTCGTGATCGATTCGTGGCGATGCGTTGGCGTGCACACGGCTGACAGCATAATAATACGTGGCTGACGCGCGCCGACGTTAGACGGAGATCCGGTGCTAGACGGCGTCCTGGCCGGGTCGTTGGAGTCGTATGTCTAATTGCGATCCGCACGGGAGAAGGACTCGCGGCGCCCGACATGTGACGCACAGCTGAGCGACCGGGAGGGACTGAGGACAGACTGCCAAGCGGCTTTCACTGCGCCGGCCGGCCGCCCGCCCGTCCAGGAAAAACAGCTGATAGATAACAACAAAGCCACGTGACCCGGCCTCGAGCGCCGATTGGTCGCTCGCGCTGACCTACTTACTCCGATTGGCTCGCCGCCCGGACAACGAGACGAACGGGAAAAAATCGCAGGCTTTAGAAGCCTAGGCAAAGAGCGCCTGCTCGACGAGACGCTCCACTCCGTCGTTGCGTTTCGCTTCTCTCCTCCGCGCCCCTCGTCCACGACGCGACTCCCTCTCTTTCTCTCGCCCCGGTCGCCGCGATTCCCCCTCCCCCTTTGCTCCACGATTCCTTCGACGAGCGTGCGTACTCGGCGTTCCCGGCGCGTTTCTACGAAGCGACGCCAACTTCACCCGCGTACCTCTCGCACGAATACTCGACGCGAGATGCGCTCTCATGATCGCACCTTTCTCTCCGAGTCGTTGGACAAACGAAACGGAGACGTGACGGTTCTCATATCGAAACCGAGTCGGCATGGCGGCGATCAGCTGTTGCCGCCGACGCCACGCACGCCCGGGCGGTTGTTTTTCGCCGTCAGCTGAGAAGGCCGGTGTGACGAAACCGACGCGGGCGGCGGTTGCGCGGAGCAAAGCTCCTCGCTCCGCCAGACCTTCCTGCGAATGCCCGCTCCCCCACTCCCTCTCCCCGGCGATAGCATACTGCGTCGTATTTTTCGGGAAATACGTCGAATTTCGGAGAAGGCCCGACACGTGAGAGCGAGTGCAGGCGCACCGGGCGCCGAGGCGATCCCGCCTGCGACCCGCATTGCGTTTTCGCAGAGAAAAGCCGGGCTTTCCGCCCCAGCTGTCAGCTCTGATCGGCCATTTTACGTCAGCTGAGTCGTCCGATGACGACACACGGCGAGTGGAGGGTCTGCATGTATACGAGAACGCCGGCCTCTGCATCTAGGTTTCTGCCAGTGGCGAACATTCGTGAGGTTCGCAACTTTGGAATGATGACGACGACGACGGAGGTCGCGGGAAGTCGCGAGCGTCATTGTCCGCTACGCGCCATCGTTCTCTCGTCGTACGTCGAGGAAGCGATGCCTCCTAGCCTCCTCGTTCCACGCCTCACGATCTCGTAGCGTCGAGTCGTTGGTCGGCGGTCTTCGCTGGCGGCGCATGCGGGGGATGTCGAGGACGCGCGTGCTCAGCTGAGGGCGCCAGTGACGAAACTCCATGGAGTGGAGGGTCTTCGAGAGCTGGGACGCCCGACGGTACCGTTCTATCCCGGCGCGATGCGTAGTAAACGCGCCTCTCTTCCGATCTCGACGTTGATTCGATGGGGACGCTCGTTCGTCGTGGGACTCCGCATCATCGATTGTCCCAGCTCGATCGGGGATCTTACGGGTCTGACGTTGACTTGGCTTAGGTGCGTAGGGGATCGTCGTTTTGTCAAGTGGGATCTCGTCATGGCGGCGTGCGGAGGACGCGCGCGATGAAAATGGCCGGAAGACATTGCGAGGGGAACGGATCGGCAGGGGGGGAGGTGAAGGCGGACACCGGCGAAATAGAAGGCGACGGTCCACCAGGCGTTCCCCAGCAGCCTATCCTAGATTTATTTCCGTGGACGTTGCGCAATGCGCGCGCCGTACGTTGATTAGCTCGCTGACTGCTGACCCTCATTATAAGTACGGAGGAAGGATAATGAGCGGTCATTCGTGCCGAAATCCCCCCCGATGACTGTCTCGTCCCCTTCGTTAACTCGCCGCGATCCATTATCTCGATATCTGTCGGCTCTTTAGCAAAACGTTTCATTTAGGTTCGTCGTCGCGCCACTGCGAGGAACGTCCAGGACGACACATATTCCCAGTGAGCAAGATGCTGGCGGTACGCTAGCGATTTGCCAGCAGATTCGAGCAGAATATTTTCGTAGATTGGCATCAACTGCGTCCGTATTAAGAAGTTTGTGCTTTGCCAGAGCTGAAGCCTCTCTCGACGTAATTTGGCAGTAGATTGCCGGCAGAAATCAACCAGAATTTGCCATTTCGTAACCAAAATGATTGCGAAATGACAGAGTCCGCTTGGTTTTTGCAGTCAAATCTGTCATTACGTTCTATTAGCGAATTCCATTATTTCCACGAATAAAGTTTGTAGTCTACATTTTGCAAAATATTATCTATTCTAATATCTAATTCTTGACATATTTGGCTATCTATTCATTTAGATTTGTGTGTGTGTGTGTGTGTGTGTGTGTGTGTGTGTGTGTGTTTGTATTAAAATGCGAATTTTTATAAAAGACATTTATGAAATAAGAAGATAAATGTGTACGTCTGCATATTTATAGGTCAAACTCTTTTTAAGAGAAAAGCCTCGCAAAAATATTAAGCTCGAAAGTAGATTCGGCATATATAATAATATTTCAGAATCGCAAAATTGACAAAAGCCACAAAAAAGCGCTAATTTAGTAAAATTTAATATGAAATTAATCTAATTATGATTATTTAATTATAAACAAACAGGATTAATCATAGAAGTACCAAAATTAATTTTCGTTCCGAGTTATCAAAGTTTTAATCTTGATATTTGATATAAATTGTTTATCGAATAAATAAAATAGCATGAAAATATAATTATGGTGTAAAGAACATAACATAACTATGTGGAATATAATTAACATAAATATCTGGAAGATTATTTAAATAAAACCAAGCCCTTTTCCTCCACTGATTTATCTGTCATCACCACCGACGAGATTACTCGTGATGAAAAAGCAAGACGGCGATAACAACGTGACTTCAATGCAAATAAATCTCATTCTTTCTTTATGTAAAAAATCAAATGAGTCCTACGACTGATTCATTCATATTAATATTTTGTCAATTTTGGTTTTAGAAAAAGTGAAAATGTTGGCATATTAATTGAAAAGGACTGAAAAGCTGTTTTTGTGAAAAACTTCACAGATTCATTTTTCTTGAAGAATCGGACGATCTTCAAGAAAAGATCTTAGCGAAGTTCCTTTCCTTTCAGTAGAGACACTTTCTTTTGAAAACAAAAAAAAACCTTTTATTTGGATAAAATTTAACGGATTACACGTTTTACGCATCCCTACAAAGTTTGTATAGAGAGAGAGAGAGAGAGAGACCCTTCTTTTTTCCATGATATTAAACTAATATACGTAGATCATAGAATAAAAACAAGAAATTTTAATATTTTGAGAGAAATGTTGTTTCTATATAGATTTTTGTCCCTGCTTGATTAGTCTCGCCTCGGGGATAGAATTTCCATTAGGGAAACTCTCCTCGTATGCCCTTTCTCAGCGGGATATCTCCCGGTATCTCTGCGCTGCAAATTCCTGGAAAGATCGTAAGGTAACGAGCAGGATATATCGCGCCGGCGGTATGACGCGTCTCAATATACGCGCTTCGTCATCCGCACGCTTGATGTACGCGGTTCAGATAAGATTACATCCAGTACGCGACAGTTTCGTGGCCGGTTAAGACGAGGCGGGCAAATGCGTATCGGTCGCGAAAACGCCCGGAGGCAATAATGTCGGACGGCGAGGCCGTCGAATTTGGTCTTTCTACGAGCATCCCCTGGGACCCCACATCATGACGCGGGTGGTTGTCGGGACGACCTGGCTCGTCGCTCTTGTCCTCGACGCGGTCGCGCTCGTCGGTGCCGCATCGCCGGAACGCTGCCCGTCGTTGTGCATGTGCGGTACCTGGTACGAGCTGCAGCACGCGTCGTGCACCGGACGCCATCTTTACAGCATTCACACAGGTGCGCCGAGCACCGTGCAGGCCCTGGATCTGTCGAATAACTCGATATCGGTTTTAAAAAATTACGAATTGGCTGTGAGTATCACCACTGGTCGCGAGCGGCGTGTTTCAAATATTTTCCAGAAGCACAAATGGATTTTAAGGCTGCGAATATTGAGGATAAGAGCAGGCTAAAGCTCTTGGAAACGCTTGAGATATAATATATGTGGCTTTATTTTCGAAAAATTAAAACATGAAAAAGCTTTTCTAAAGGATTTACTATTTCTAATTTATCGGGTTTTACCTTTGGAATCTCCATTGCACGTTGACGTTCTTTCTACCTGAAGTATTACCCTTTTATTGTATAAATTTTTGACTATACTATGAATAATTTAACTTGAGAATATAAATCATCCGAAGAGGTCATTAAAATATGATCATTAAAATTTATCAAATGCCATTGTAACAGGAATAAAAGTTTCATATTCTTAAGTGTTTAGGAAACAGTGAATTCCTTATAATATATAAGTCAAAAGAACAAAATCTTTTTCGTTTCAAATGATAAATTTTCTCATACGAGATAACAATCGAGAAGTTGTTGAAATTGAATAGCTACGTGAGTTATTTTGTAATGACCTGGCAGAATGAAATTAAATTGATTTATTATATAGTACAAAAAAATGCATTTATAAGCTTGTAAAGAAAAAGCGATAATTCTCTTGGTTTCATGACACAATGGTACATGTTTCAAACAAAAATTTCAATATGGACATTCATTCATTATGAAAAGAACTAGATACCTGAGATTCTCTTCGAAATTGTAGTATTAATAAACTTGATGAAACAGAGAAAAAAGAATAGTATATTCATATTATCGCTGTCAAGCATTCTAATGTGTGTGTGTGTGTGTGTGTGTGTGTGGGGGGGGGGAGTGTAAAAGAGATTTTTAAGAGATTATTTAGTTTTAATAATTTTCTGATTATCATATAGTATAGTTTTAAATAGAAATTTTAGATAGATGCATTAATCCTCGGATATCTTATATTCTTGCAATATTTCTTATTTATTTTAGGAAGCAGGATTGACGAGGCTCAAATATCTCAATCTGTCCATAAATGCGATTAGCGAAATCGATCTAAATGCTTTTAATGGATTATCCGAGTTGACGGTTTTGGATCTATCGAGAAATCATCTGTACTATCTCTTGGCGGACATTTTTGTGCCAATGAAGAATCTGCGAATACTACGCTTGTCAAAGAATAACTTCAATTCTCATATACCGAAACTGGAATGCCCCTGGCTTATGGTAATAACAAAAATATAATTTTTATATTTGCGTCGATATTATTATTAACACGTTATATTGCACAATACTGATATTAACGTTATTTATAAAATTGCTTTTATGAAAATATGAAGAAAATTATATCAGTATTCATGATAATAAAACTGTAATTTTGGATTTAATATATTTAGTATTATTTTGAGGTATATAATTTATGAACAATTCAGTCTCATAGAAAGAGAAGACATTTTCATTTAATTTGAAAATTATTTTATTCAGGATCTAAGTTTGGACTCATGTCAAATTAGCTATGTACCGATGGACATGTTTAACGGACTCTCCCATCTTCGTACTCTTGATCTTTCAAATAATTTAATGATTCAATTGGATATTACTACTCTTGAAAGCTTACAATTCTTAAGAAAATTATCAATAGAGGGGTAAGATGATGAATAAAAACATTTAATATTTAATCTTATTTCAATTTTAACTTTTGCTCAGTATTTTACATGCATTATTAAACTTTTACTAGATAATTAAAAATATTCTAAAAAAGCGTTATTTCTCTTTTTTCAGAAATCCCTGGTCCTGTGATAAGCTTACACGTGACTTGCAGGTATATTTGACCCGCAAAAATATACAATATCATGCGGTATGCGCGAAAAGTGCGGAACCTAAGAAGTTTGAAAAAATGGTAGTCTACAATCCGTATGTTAAATATGAGAAGCGTCGGCCCTCGATAACTTCGAACTCGAGCATCAAAAAAATCACGAAAAAACATTCTGCGGTCGTGCCGACACAGGAAAATACCATTAGATGCGTTAATGCGACAGACAAGGCGGGCTTTATAAAAGCGTTGGATTCCATGTCACCGTATTGGTTTTTTGCGATCGGATTTTTACTCGGTAGCGCATGCGGTATGTTCACGTGTTACATTTGGCTCACAAAGAAGATATCTTGTTGTCGCGGATGTCGTCGCAGGCGAATCGACGCTCAAAGAGTTTCGTTGCTGCAAAATTTATGGCAATTCGAGGATTCTACTCTCAATGACACCGCAATATCTTGCCCTGATACTCCACCGCCACCGTATCGCGAAGTCATGCTGCGACCGGGACTTTATCGTAGCGCGTTACACAGTTAAATAGCAACGTTGCCGCAAATATTACGGGATATATTTAGGTACGAAAGGTAAAGTATTATTATACTATTATTGATTGACTTTTGTCATTTTGAAATTTAGTGCATGAATAAGCATGCTGCATGTTGACAATTTTTCATATTTATTGTATTGCATAAGAGAATAGTATCTTGCGAAGGTTGATATGTGATGATTTTGTTTAAATATTTATAATAAAGTAAATTTTTAGAGAAATTTGGTGCATGGTTATTTTTTATGACGAATAGGAGAGAAATTTTAACGATATTTTAATATTTAAAAACAGTATACATACTACTAACAATTACACGAAAGGCATATTCAAAAGACTTCTGTTAGGTGCTGCCATCTTTCCAAGTTTCTGACATGATTCTTAAATATATGTAAAATATCAAAATTTATTTTAAAATTTTGTCATTTAATACAAAAATTCAATTCGTAAAACGCAAACTGCATTTCAAGACTTTTTCGTTATAATTACAAGGAGAAATAATTTGGATTATTTTCAATAATTTGTGGATAAATTAACAGATTGACAAACTCCAATCGTAGAAAAGTTATTTTATCTCATATAATAATTAATTCAATATACATAGCAATAAAAAAATTAAAAATGATATATCATTTTCTCGATAATATCAATGAGATAATTATGTATGATGTACGTTGTATTACGACATTCTTCTAATCAATGTTTAAAAATAGTGATAGTAGTAGATATGCTAGTAAATAACAACTCTTTTAAAAACTTTTTTGCATGTTACACACGCATATGTCTAAAATATTATAGGCATATAATATGTTATATATGTACAATATAATACAGTGTATATATAATTTTAACAATTATTTTCGTTTGAACACAATAATGCTATTGTGATTGCTCGAAACTCCTGGTCATTGTAGCGTAGCCTCATCAAGTCTCATATTATTTTCATCTACGCTTTGGGTGTTTAAAGTGACGGTTTTTCCACCAATCGCGGCGATTATGTTTTCTGTTATTTCATGATCGTATCTAGTGCCATGAAGATTACTAATCACACTCGCATCTTGGTTGAAGTCGGTTGATACTAATCCAGCGGGTAGGCTCATTCGAATTTCCTCAACGATGCCATTCTGCACCTCCAAGTTCAAATTCAAGCGATATACTTTACCATCATGGGCGGGAAAATCGAGCGTGCGGGTAACCGTAAATTTCGGTGTCTTGCCGAAATTCCAATTCCAGGAACGAAATTCGTTGGTAAAGTCATCAATTCCTGCAAAAATTCCAATTTATGAAAACAAATTTTGAAATTCCTTATCTATTAATTGTATTTCATACTTGACAATTTCCATTTGATAATCGACGCGGACAATATATAAAAATTCTTTCAATATCAGCCAATTTAATCATGTTATTAACTCTCACTTTTAATATATCATTCGCATAATAAAAGCTGTTTTTACACATACCAGGGAACCATGCTTCAGTTGGGTTGATAAACTTGAATCCTTTTTGTTGCTCAACCAGATCGTATCTTCCGTCTTCAAGAACGAGGGCTTTTGTACGCAAATATTCCCAACCAATGGCAGATAAGAGCTTATCCATTCGGATATCCCGGTTTATGTCAACCAAGTTCTTTATTGGAGAACGTACAGAAGCCGTCGCGTTTGTAAAGATATCAGTCTGAAAGTGCAATCACCTGTTACCTCTTTTTTATTCTTTGCATAAAAATCATGAAAGTATCTTTCACAAACAATATCGTAATATTGATATATATACTGTCGTGGTATTATTGATTTATAGAGTTGTCTTGATGTGAGTACGCACATTTTATATGAGAATACACGCGTGTGCGTGCCGGTAATATGGAGGGAGGTCTTACCTCTTTTTTCTCAAGAGTTGAGCTCAGATTGGCTTTGTTCACGTTGACCAAGAGTGTGCAGTGATGATAAGCATTCGGTCTCCCCAATTTTGCAGCTGTTCCAGATATCTATATCGTAATATAGTTAAAGAAATATGATGCGAGAATATGTCGATGAGAAATAATATTAAAAATATCTCTCTTTGCAATTTTAAAATAAACCCGAAGCGAGATATTATAGTTTCGCAATTGATCACTATAAAATCTATTTTTTGCTACATGCTCGTTACGTCATTCGTGTCGAAACAGTCTTCGCTAACGCGTTAATTATATAATATATGTTATTATATAATATATATATATATATATATATATATA